GTATTAGTTGTTGACTACTGGAAGTCTTTACCAAAGAGTAAGCAACCTGGATTTTGTAAATCAGGGTAAAACACCAGCTTTGAACATTAAAGTGCTCAAATAAATGAAGTTTTAGTTCCTTTAAAGTTGATGTTTTTTGAAGAAATTAGTGGCAGTCTAAATGCATTTCTTGGTACCTAATATTTGATCCAGATTTTATTGCTCTTTATGTAATATATTTTGCTTTATTACAAAAGTATAAAAATATTCTGAGATATTCTTTTCATATTATTTTTAAAATTTTGAGAAAAAATCACAAAAAGTTGTTTTCAATCTTGCTGTTTTTTTTTTTTCTTCTAGTTTCTTTTCAAACTGATAAACCAATGGCTTTGTTTCTGGTGGTGACACTTAATGAACTTCTACGCAACTTTTGCGCGAAGTTCATTCGATTAGATGTTCTTTTAAATGCCAAAACTACAACATCTTTGTTAAAAATAGATTTGTTTAATTTTGCAAACCGGCTTCCAACCAGCCAAATTGATGTTAGTTTTTCATTGTAATAAGATCTCCAGCAATTTAAGAGAGATTACTAATGTTCAAATTGACAAATTCAAAAAAAAAATATGTGTGTGATTTTCTTGTATCAATGTGTACTCATATTATTGAGAAAAGCCCTTTGTCTTCACTGGTTGCTCACTGTCTGGTATGTATTTCCCCATCATTTATAGTTGAATATCCAGAAAAGTGTGATTATTTTTTAGACAAACTGTTGATGAAACTTGTTACTTTCAAGAAAATAAGAGCTTCTGTTGGTGATTTAGCTAAGAAAGAATATTCCAAGTTTTGTAAAAGTGTGGTCGTTGATAACAAAGAAGCATTTTGACTTTCGATAAAGATAAGGATCGTTTGGACTACTTTTTGTGTGTTGATTTAAAGACATATGCAAATCTACAGCACATTTTCAAAATTGTCCTCATTTTATCGCAGGTACAAGCTCAAGTTGAACAAGGATTTAGCAGCAATAAAATTCTGATCGATGACAATATGTCCCCGGACACTATTATCTTTTTACGTTCAATCCAAGATTACCTCATATTTCATAAGTTCTTGGCTCATGAAGTTGAAATAACAAAAGATTTATTAGATTACTACAAACATGCAAAGAAAAGAAGTATTTTGATGATCAACGTTCAAAAGCCCTGTCTGTAGAAAAAACAGTGAAAATGGAAGCAAAAAGAAAAATTATAGAAGATATTGAATTTATCAATACTGAAGTTCGACAGACATTATCTATGATTGAGACTTTAAAAAAGTCATCTGATGAAATTGGAATCCGCGCTGAAAAAAGAATAGCCTTAGGTTTATGCCTTGAATATAAATGTTTTTTTAGTTTATATCACTAAATGTAATATCATTACTTATTGATTATATTTCTATTTAGATGACATTAAACCTGATATATCAATATGTAATGCATTAAAAAGAGGCCCTTGCAAAAAACAAGAGTTACTAGAGAAGCTATATGTTAAAAAAAAAACTTATATGTTGACAACGATTATATATATATATATATATATATATATATATATATATATATATATATATATATATATATATATATATATATATATATATATATATATATATATATATATATAAAATAGTTTATCTATTTATATTTAAAATTTATTGAAAAAAGAAAGATTGCGTTTTTAGTGTAATTGTTTTCTCTTTAATTCTCCTTACTTTTTACTTCAAATTGTTGTTTGCGACTGAATCATCTTAAATAATAGGGAAATATCTTCTTAAATCTCCTTAATTGTAGCCCAGTTTTAGTCGTGGGAACCCTGTTTGAAGATATAGTATTTTAAACTGGTTTCTTGTAATACTTGACTTAATTGTACTGGAGCATTTGATACTCTCTTCGACAACGATTGTTATGTATGTGTATGTATGCATATATATGTATGGGTATGTATGTACACATATGTGTATATATATGTTTGTACACGAATGCTTATGTATGTACACGTATACGTGGATATGTAAAAATGTTAGTTTTTAGGTTTTTATATCTTATCAGCTTGATTTTATTTATTCAATAAATAATGAGTTTATTTATCTAATAAGTTATCCAATAATACTAATTTTATAAATTTTCAATAAATTTTTCTCTGCTTTAATTACTGCACATGCAAGTTTTGGCATTGTTTAATTAAATTAACAAAATAAATTGAAAGTATAAGATTTCACATTTCACACTTGTAAAATTGATCTCAAATAAGTTGTTGATTAGGACACTCTTTATGTATCTTGCAATCTAATTTTTCCTATAGTAACTCAATTAGAGTGGAAGTCTGTTGATTTTGACAGCCATAGTTTTTACAGTGTTTGTATGTTTTTGGGTCATTATCTTGTTGCATAGTAAACCTGTATCCAATTAGAGGTTTTCTAGAAGGTATGGTATTATCAAGAATTTATGGTATTATCAAGAAGGTATGGTATTATCAAGAATTCTATT